GGCCACCTCAAAATACAATAAAGTTTTGAAAGTTAGGAACGACAATCCTAATAACAGTTTTCATCTTTCTTCAGGTCCTCCCCACCCCCCTGGGATTGAAAACTTGACTGCTTTGATATTTAACAGTACCTCAAAAATAATCCTGCAGTATGATCTAAAGCTGGTTTGCAGCTTCTGACACTGAAGTGCACATTTCCTAAGTGACACACTGTCAGTATAGGAGAAGTTCCAAAGCTTAAGTAAGCGTATTTAGCAAGCTGAGCATTTACTATTATCAGCCTTGTATTTAAGAAAGTAGCCTGCTAGTCATAGGCAAACGCATGGAATTCCATGCAGCCAAGTGAGCAGGCTGGTGGATGAGTTCAGATCACTCCATCCCTTCTCTGCCAAGTCACTAGACTTCCACGCTAGTTGTGGTGGAAGAAAAGTCTTGTCTTCCACAACCAGCATGGGCAGACACAGTGGGCACTGGGCAGGCAGAGTGAGGACTGTCTCTCCTTCATGAGTCTTGCTTGATAAAAGGTAAATGTTGTTAAGATGCCAAACGCTTGTGTTTCTATGCTGGCTGCATGGTAATATCTGCATGTTATTTGCAAGCTAATCACTTTTTAAAACAGCTCTTACAAAAAATACTAGAAACTGCAACTCAATGAAAAGATAAAAATTCATCACAATAGCCAAATTATGCCTCTCCCCTATGTACAGAACACTTGTGATTTATCCAGAAAACAGTTCTGTAAGAAGAAAGAACTAGCAGCCACTACCCATTATAATCTATTTCTGCACAGCAATATTAAGTTTTTAATTTTCCTCTTACATGACTTTTAAAAAGACTGTCAAATCAGGCCAGAAAACCAACCTTTATACAAGATTTGCTCCACCTAATACCACAGCCTCTCCATCAATATACAGCCTTCTCTCCCTGGCTCAACATATGAATTGGTAAGTTAATATGACTCATCTATTGGCATTGCATCAAACTTGCCCTGAAACAATCAGGGGCCCTCTGCACCAGCTAAAGAATTTACTGACACACACATTATTATGCCAACTTCAGAGAACAAATCACCAATATTAACCTTAAAAACTTTTAAGTAACTGGCTAGATTTGCCTTCAGTGCACAACTAGTTGCTAACATTCTGATCATTCATTCACTGGAACACTCAGTTGCATTTTAGGGGCCTGGTAATTATTCAGAAACACAAGTTAAAGCTGTTGCCTCTTTAAAGTCTCAGAAAGAATGTTAGCCAATTCTTGCTGGCTGTTTCCTAGGGACTAGCATAGTTCATGACACAGAATTAAGAAACAAAGCAACCTTTACTGAGGAAAATTAGGACAGAGACTGAAGTGGCAGACATATCAGCATAACGTTATGATGTGTAGGATTCCGTGAGGTAAAGCGTTTGCCATTCTGCTTTTAACCATGTTCCATCTCATTTCAACCTCTTTTAAAACAAAAACAAAGTTAATGCTGACAGTATTGGATTCAGGCCACAGTGACCATGACCCAGCTTGATTCAGTTACTTTTCAAGTAGTAAGCAGCAGAAATTGTTGAAATCAGTTCTTTAAAAAGAAACATGATGCCTGCTTGAGCTCCATCTCCTGTAACTAGGAAGTTTAACCACAATGTAGAACTACAGTGGATTTGGTCCCCATCAGTGCACCACCACATGCGCTAGGTTGAGCTGAATGTGAGAGAGCATACTTTAGTTAAAAACTTCGTTATGGAGTATCTATGTACATATAGGAACAGATTTCCATACAAAAATCAACCATAATAAATATCACAATGTTCCAAGGAACACAAATGGGTTTACATTATCCTGTACCTTATTATTCCAGTACATTATAAAAAGGCTCCACTTCTCGATAAATACATTATCTTGTTGTCTTCCCCCTCTGCTTCTCACTGAGCTCTCAATATCTGAACCCCCAGGGAGAAAGATCTAGTATAGTCATGGGCATTGGTACACACTTGGGAGTGCCTTAATTTAATATTTTACTCCATACTGAGGATATTAAGTTTTTGGTAAGATAAACAGGCAGTGGTTTACAGTGTGGTGAGTGGGGGAGAGCAGGTAGGAAAAGAACACTATAGGATTTTCCCTCTACTACTGCAATACAATAGAGTTGAACTTCACCCAGTGAGCACTCTAGGCTACCCTCTGCCCTGTTATAAGTGATTCTATGACAAAGCAGTTTTCAACAGATGACTATTCACACTTTTCTTAAGAACATTCATACAAGGAGATTTCACTGCCTTCCATAAAATGTTATTCCATTGCTGAACAACTCTAGTAGCGAGGAAAGTTTGTTTTAAATACCTCTTTCCCGAATGCAACCATTGTATCTTGCATCAATGGAAAAGTAGAAGATCTGTTACACTATTATGTTTGATTCTTCCAGCATCTGGGAGGCCGAAAGTAAAAACAGTGTTGGAGGGTTTCAGAACTCTTTGAATATTGAGAGAAGGTGAAGCTGATTCCAACACACAGTGATTTGATGTGCATAAGTTCTGCCAATTCCACTGGTGCATGGAGACTCAGTTCACCCTCATTAGGGGAAAATGGGGAAGGAACAGGACAGGGAGGGAGGGAAGCAAAGGTAACATTACAGCCTGTTCCAACTGAGCAGTCCCCTCCTCCTGCACAGGGTCACTTGGCACCAACTGCCCTGTGGGATGGATCTTGATGAGCTGGTAAGGTTTACTGTCATCTAATGGTAATGTTAGGGACGCGGGTGGCGCTGTGGGTTAAAGCCTCAGCGCCTAGGACTTGCCGATCAAATCGTCGGCGGTTCGAATCCCCGCGGCGGGGTGCGCTCCCGTCGTTAGGTCCCAGCGCCTGCCAACCTAGCAGTTCGAAAGCACCTTTGGGTGCAAGTAGATAAATAGGGACCGCTTACCAGCGGGAAGGTAAACGGCGTTCCGTGTGCTGCGCTGGCTCGCCAGATGCAGCTTCGTCACGCTGGCCACGTGACCCGGAAGTGTCTGCGGACAGCGCTGGCTCCCGGCCTATAGAGTGAGATGAGCGCACAACCCTAGAGTCTGGCAAGACTGGCCCGTACGGGCAGGGGTACCTTTACCTTTAATGGTAATGTTATTATTGTGTTTGTTGTTGTTGTTGTTACTATTAGTAAGCTGCCTTGGAAGGATCATTATCATCAAAGATGGGATACTATATAAATAATTGTATTACATTATGAACAACCTCCCCACAGCATATAAACAGCTGCAACTCCACAGTAATGTTACCTATAATTCTAGTGCACCAGCTTGGATAGAAATAGTAAGTACTCCTAACTACCTTTTCTAAACAGCAGCTCGATTCACAAAGGCTTTCTGCACAGAAATAATTAAACCTATGCCCCAGCCAGATACCAACACAGTTAAAAAGTAAAGTACCACCATTCACAATGCAAAAGCAGTAGTTATATTCAGCACAAAAAAATAAAAATCTGGTCATGACACTTGGTATAACTCTCAAAATGGCCATGACAAATATCTTAGGTGGGAAAACACGAGGAAATACAATTTACAAAAGGTCACAAGACATTTATTTGTGTCTTCTACTGGCTTAAGTCAGAAATGGAACTTCATTAGAAATTCCCTCTTAGCCTATAATGCACATGCACATTTAGAACTTTTGTTCTAAACTGGACCGTTGTTAAATATTTAAAAGGCACAATGCAAAACCACAATTTGGCAATTGGGGGTAACCTCAGGAGTCATGCACTCCCATCTTCCCCCATCACCTACTCCATCGGAATGAAAACCAAAGTGGCAAACAATGGTCAGCACCTTGAATCCAACCGATAACCAACCAGATTTTCAACTGCGAGCCTAGGCACAATGGAGCCATGGGTAAGGTGGGGCAGATATGACATTAGTTGCAACAAAACACAGGACAACAGTATTGGGATTTAAAGAGGCCACAATTTTACAGATATCAGAACTTTTTGGTGCCGGAATTGGTTTTGTATCCTAACATCAACTAGCCTGACTCCTGGCAGATGCTTAGCAGGGTTAACCAAGGCTGAAGGTTGCCCTATGATGTACATCAAATTGGGCTAACCCCCCTGCCCAAGGATCCCATTAAAGGGATACTCTGATACTGTGGAGCAGGGTGAGGTCCGCCCACCCTTGCTCAATGAAAGCTAAGAATCCAACCCAATGCCTTATCTGCCATAATTTGTCACCGTTGCTATGAGGTAGGCGAAGCCCCCAGACAGGCCCAATTAGTCTGAATGCAAATGAGTCTGCCTGGCCCCGAATACAGTGACCGAAGGCTTCCTCAGCAGAGCAACCCCATGGGACATGCTTGCATACTATTGGGCAGCCCAAAAACATCTAGAATAAGGGAAGAGCGAGCAGGGAATCCCAAGCTGAACTGAGGCTGGGACCATGGCGCAGCTGGCTTTTATAGCCAGGGAGCGGACCAGAGGGAAAACTTTTTTCCTTCTGGTCCACATCCAAGACATGCCTCATAATACACCTGCAACTGGTCGCAGCCACAGATGAGCTCCAGCATACAACACAGCCAGCAGAGGAGGAAAAGTTGAGAGAAAAGGGGGCATCCAGCCACAGCTGTTAAGGCCAGCAACTTCCACCTCCCACCATGTGGAAGTAAGTGGGATTTTAAAAAAAGAATCAGATACATCTGGAGTTCAATAATTAAACCTAGTATCTTATTTTGACAGGCACATTGTAACAACCGTGATTATTTCATATGTGCAACACTTCGAATGTCCAATGTCTTCCTACTTCTATATTAGTCTGCCTCACAAATTTCCAGCACCACATTGCACGAGATAAACTTTATCTATGACTGGTACATCCAATATTTATTTTTGTTTTGCTATATACATCAAACCAGAGCCAAAAAGTGTTGGATGCCCACACTTACTTTCACACATGAAAAAAAAATTAACAGTTTTCGTGGTAGCTGGGAGAAGACGTATCTTTAGAAGATGCTATTAAAAATATACCAGTTTCCCTACCTGTTTCTCACTCAAAGCTGTGATTTTGGCTTGGAGTTCATGAAGCTGTTTCTTCAGATCAGCATTCTGATTAGAAAGAGAGAGGGAAAAAAGTATCTGTGAGAAAGCTCTTTCAATTCTTAATAAAGAATAGTAGGAGGACTTTAAAACTCATAGGAATGCTATAAATAAAGCGCCTCTAGGTTGTAACCAATGGGATTGCTTAAACAGCACAACAGTGAAGCCTATTTGAAGTGCCTGGTGCTACAGTTTTATGGCTCTTTTCAATATTTAGCATCATTTGGGTGGCATTTTCATGTATTTCATGAAGACATGAAATGCCATTTAATACTTAATTAACAAGGACATCAAGGAGTTCCCTACAATATGCTCCACATTTTCTTTCAGTGATGTGCTCCACTAAAGAAAACTGAAATTATTTTTAAAGATACACCTAACATTAAACCACCACCCCATCTCCAAAGGCTATTTCACACTTAAAACCTTTTGCCCCAGAATGTGTCTATAGTATACATGAGGGGAAAGAAAATGAATGCACCTCCAATGTTACAATTTTGGTGAACTAAATAAACAAACCACTACCTTCCTCATGGTATGGTTTTTAAGAATCTTCTTGTGAATAAAACACTGTCAGAAATAATATTGAGACCGTATACTTAATATATAATCTGATGATTTTTTCTATTTCACTTTGTGAAAAATGCACCAAGAGAAATGTTTGTATTCTGACTTCAGGAATGAACATGCTGAATAAACATGCTGAAGAGTGTAAAACATATTTACCTGTGGATCCTGCTTCATTTGGGCAACCAATTTCTAAAATAGAAGACAGTGGTATTAGTATTGCATGTGCTTTACTGAACGTTCTGCAAGCAAAACCTATACAGTTGTCCTTGACTAAAACTGGATTTTTCATAAAAGGTGTTGCTTATTTCTGCCACCCTTATTCACATGTTTAAGTATGCTGCTACTAGGGATAAAGCTGGGTAAGCTAAACTAAAACTACAATCTTAAACTAATATAAAAAGCAACACAGACAATCAGTTCGGTTGCAAAAAAAAGCTATCTATATAATCAAAAACTACAGAATTGCCTTCATGTGGTCTTGGTTGAGAGACAGAAGTCAAAGAAGAAACTGTGCTGCATCCCTTGCCCTGCTTCTTTGTGCTACTTTTCTATACTTAAATTGTAAGTCAGAAAGCAGGGGCTTGTTACTGGTGTTAGCAAAAGCACCTAGTATTTTGGTGTTTTACAAATAAATGAAAACAATAATTCTGTAAGAATTGGCACTTCAGGTTAAGTTTCCCGACTCACACAAAAAAAATCTCCAAAGAACCTAATAAATTCCTCAGGTATTCTGCTTCTCTGGGTACTTTTTGATATTTTTAAAAAGTCAGTATAAAAACCAAGTGGCATAGGATGTTTGTCATATCTGGGAGAGCACATTAGAAATATTCCCTCTGACCACTTGATTCTTGGTCTTGATACGAAGCTTATTCAGTGATTTTAAAAGGCTTGCTTGAGAATTAACCTGTGTAATCCAGCTAAATTACAGGAGCTAACGGCTTGAATAGATAAATTAACTTCTCATAGCACTATAAATCTGCTAGGTTAATACATATAGAATATGTGTTTGATCTACCAAAATTAATTAAATTGGCACTAGTAAACAATTTTGCACTATACCTATATGAGCTTTCCCACAGTTCCTAACAAATACTTTTTGTACTTAGGAGCAGCACGACAACATCATTCTAAATAAAACGGCATACTGCTGGGGGGCGGGGGAACTGATTTCCTATTTGGTTACTTCTCCCCAACACATGAGCACACACAGAGAGAAGTTTTTGGATGCAGAAATGCACTATCTATAATAGTCTCCTCATGTCTCGCCTGACAGAACACACTTTCATGCAAAGAACACAGGTACCATTGAATTCAAAGGAGAGGCTTGTGCTTTAAAGCAGAAAGGTATTGACCATTACATTCCCACAACTATTTGATGCTGAAGTTATTCTAATTCTGGGGTGAGCAAAGTCTGTCAAAATTTGCTTTTGATGTATTTAAGAATACTTTCTTTTGTAGGTTAATAATTTGAATTTAGAGGGACACAAACTCTGAATTACCAAAATTGCAGGAATGGACAAAATAAACCTGAGATGCATTTTTCATCACCCCACAGTCACTTGCTAGAAGATTTGCAGCTTTCTTTCTTTCTGTTTTCGTTTCTATCCATCTTTCTTGTTTGAAAGTGACAAAGATGCTAAGGGATCAAAAATGGCAATGAGCATGTGAACTCTGTTTATTATTCTGTCAAGGGCTGACAGCGCTCTGATGAGTGTGTGGCCAAAGCAAGGGGGGAGGAGACTGACCTGAGAGAGGGTGTCAGCAATTATGCGGTTCAGTGCTACTCATGAGGCAGGAGCCAGAGCAGGGGGAAGAAGAAGGAGCACGGCTGTTAGGGATGAACAGGGGGCGACACAGGACCTGCCAGAGGCGGAGGAAGAGGCTGATCAGGCCTCACCATCCTCTATGCCATTGTCTCCTAGAAACAGGAGGAACTTGAAGAGGGAAGAGACACAACGACTTCCATGTAGGAGATGTCTCAGGTTATGTGTGTGCAACCCATCAGAGAAGGGTATATAAGCCAGCGGGGAGGTGGAGTACATGGTCCCACTGTTGTTGCAACGCTCCACAGGGCCCAGACGTGTGGGCAACTGCCTAGAGGCTAGAAGCGCATGTGTACCTGGAGTACCGTGGAAGCTGCTGTAAATGCTTCTCTTGTCAATAAAGACTTAAGTGTCAGACGTATGCCTTCCTTAGCTGGGGTGGGGCCAGTACATAAACCTATACGTAAAGACTTAGACCCAATACTTACCTCCACATGCGTGGAAGTGCTTCCAATATTCATTTACTGGGGGGGGGGGAGTTGTCTCCCTATCCCACAGCCACTTGTGCCCACTGGAAAACTGCCCCAGGACAGTAAGGCTTTTCCAAATTGTGTGCAATGTCATGATGTGAAAGAATGAGTGCCTCACCCACAACCTGTACATGAGTGGTGCTTACGTTTGTGCAAGCAAAGTCTTGGATTCAACCCAGCAAGAGTCGTATACATGTGAAAGACTGAGGCTTTCACATGCTGTTTCACTATATCCAGTATCCAGAGCTGTATGTATTGCCTTGGTTACTGAGTTGGAACTATGCATGAAAGACAATCACATAGTTAGTGCTATCAGCTTTGTAGTGCTGATCTCCAGTTGGAGATGATGACTGACACAATCAAGCTGACCTGACAAACCATATAATGGGTGGATAATTGTTTTCAGGCGCATACATATGTTGCTCCCTGAAAATGGTCTGTTTTTTGCAGACTATATTTAGAATCAAAATATTTCAGTTCCAGCTATATCTGCATATATGAAAGCTTGCAGATCACTGACACAATAGTCTCATACAGCACATACAAACCAGATAATCCCATAGAGTTCAAATGCACCTAGTCACAAATAAACGTGTATATGATTGCAACTATGTGAAAGATCCATTAACTACATCTCCCAAAAAAACCTTGTTATTTCAGTGCTAATTCTACTACTTCAAATGCAAACTCTTAAGAGATTATCCTGGACAAGTTTGACATGGTTTGGTAATCTGAAGGCAAGAGCTGTTGGCCTTTATATTTACATGTCCTGCATAAGGGCAAGCCATGCACAACTTGTGAAGAACTGTTCTCCATATTTTGTTTTGTCGTAAATGTCTCACTTTTGTAAATAATTCCACACAACCATTTTTCTGCATATGAGTCAGTGTTACCAGTGAGCTGGTCAACTACATGAGCGAAATATTTATTTATGTACAGACCCACAGCATCTACCTTAATGTTAGGAAATGGTGTCAGAATTGTCTACAAGAGCTTTGATTTAGACTGAAAAGAACTCAGGTCTGAGAGGATAAAGTTGACTGTGCAGTTGAATTTACATTCAGAGATACCCACAATGTTGTTAGCAATGTCTATACAAACAATGCAATCAATGACAAGATCTGTCTAGCAAAGATTATTTGCTATAAAATATGCTCAATGAATATCCCAAGTCTGATGGGTCTTTCACAATTACAAAAATCTATACAAATTTACTCGTGACTATTCCCACTGACCTTAGTGGGCCTCACCTGCTCCATTTGGGGTGTAGGACTGTGCACTTTCTGAGCAATTTGCAAGTTTCCATGTGCATAAATGTTCTCCACAGCGTAGGGAGGAGGAGAGGGGTAGAATGTCCCACCATGCAAGGAGAAATTCTTGCACGGGTGGAATGTTCATTTAGCGCTAAGTTAGATTCCATTCAAATTATTTTTATATTGAGCTCTTGCATAAATTACATAAAAGTTCCACAAAAATTGAACTTACTAGCAAGTAACACAGAAATAGAGGCTGGTTTATTGCTTTGACATTAGAAACAGGCTGGAAATTGTCAAACTTGAGTTCTTAAAACAAGTAAACTGTACAATAAGTAAACCATGCCTGCCATCTATTGTTTAGAGTTAACCATGTTGAAATCTAGAAGTAAAACACTTTGAAATATACCCAATGTAAAATATAACTGATCCACTGGCTCATAACATATTTTCAACACGGTCATCAGCACTGAATGAACTGTTCACACTTGAAGACAGAAAATTCAGGAGTACATTTTGTTTGAGATTCTGTCCTGCCATGCTATGCAGCACATATGAGAAGCATATCATCTTTTTTAAAAAATCTGGAATGTAGCCTATAACATGTATAGGCTGTTGCCATGTTTCAACAAACCACAATTGTGAGGCTGGCAGTTAAAGCCATTGTATATCAGGCAGGCACCTTCTCTTATTGCCTTTTCAGTGGCTCTTTCAACAATACTTTTAAATAGAGATCTTTATCCCAGTTGGTAACTGTACTGGATCTGAATTGTTTTTATGTATGTGCTGCTTTTTGAGACTGTTTTTATATTTACAATTGATGCTGTTGTTTTTAATGTCTTACATATGCAATTGCTTTAACTGTTTTTATACCTATAATTGTTTTATATATGTTTTTATTATATTGCAAATTGCTTTGGGATAACTCAGGGGAAGCAAATCCTAACCACCACCCTGAAAATAATAAACCACCACCCTAAGCCTTGGCATTGCTTAGAGGATCCTCAACACTTGAATTAGAGACCATTTCGCACCAGCTCAGGCAGGGAGATAGTAGACAGCAAGATGGTCAGTTCACAGAATTCTCTCCTCTGTCCTTACTGTTCCACACCTGCTACAAACACTTAAAATTGGGACTCAGCCAGAATTAGATCCTGGAGGGAAACTAGAACCCCTATAGACTATAGCAATCTTACCTAACCTATGCTGGGGGTTCACCGAAAACCCAATTGACACAGCTGAAAATGTTCCTCACAGCTCAGCTGCCGAGGTCCTGATAATAAATGCAGGCCAGGTTGGTTCTAATGACTCTTTTCTAAAGTTATAAGAATTGTCTTAAAGGTGCTTCTTCAGAGGAAAAGCTTGTTAACTTAGTAGGATTATGTCCTTAGAGCTCTGAAAATCCAAACACGAATAAGACAATTTTAAAAATAAAAAATAAAAAACACACTCTTTCATCTACAAACATGTTGTACTTACTATTTTCCAAAGTTCTACACAAAACTTCCCGTGAAATTATTTTAGCAACACCTACCTACCCACTAGAATGCCCTCTCAGTAATATTAGACAAGCACCATCTCTATTATCTTCTTGGTGACTATGGAAGATCTTCCTTCGCCCCCATAAGCATTTTAAGTGAAGGTTTTATTTTGAATTTTATATACGTTTGTAAAGTTGATATTTGTAAGTGAAGTTTCTGTTGTTCAGGGTGTTGTTCATGGAAAACAATTGATAAACGAAATGAGGTCAATATAGTCCACATTTCTTTTTCTTTTTAATGTTGTATAAGGATTAGAGATGATAAATTCAGATTCAATAGCTGCAATTTATGAGCTGAAAGGGAGGAGAAAGATTGCAAGACCTGTTGCTGCTACTCCAAAAGGCCCGTTTGTTGTACGCTTGCTCTGTTTCTCAAACTTTGGGAAAACTTGGATTGAGAGTTCAGCTAATAGAGAAAACTATGAGTTAGAGAGACTAGAAAATATTGGGACAACAAATACAACTAAGCCCTTTAATCACTTTTTTATCTTTATGAATTGTAATTTTTAATTTCTTCTAGCTCTCTTATACCCTAAGCTTTTAATTATCCAAATTACTCCAACTATAAGCACCATGGGGACAGAAGTATTTGTGTCGTGTCTGGGGAAAGCAGATGAAAACCACTTTGAGCTCACAATATATGGTGGGCTATGAAGTCAATAAATTAAAACAGATAAAATGTGCACTATAGCATGATACTTCCAAGCATACCAGAACTTAAGAATCAAGCAACTATTAGTATTTGGTCTGAACTTCTGAAGTCAAACAACCCCTTTTACTATTTCAAGTAAGATACACAAGGCAGAGAATGCAATTTACCTGGTGAACCTGAATTTCCACTTTCAGAGCCTCCTGTAGAGTCTGCAACTCCATTCTCTACCTTCTCCACTTTCTTGAGCTGTTGAGGTTACTAAATCCCCACCACCTTCAGACACTTGCTTCAGAGTAAAGGAAATATTCTGTTTTTTACGCTGCAGCTGCAAAATATATGTTACTTTTATCAGGAAAGCGGGTGGGGACATCAACTTGTCATATATTGTACAATATTCTTGTCTTTTATCTCAAGGCTTTGTAATGGAGGGCACGTGCCCAACACAGTGGATCCCCTTGCAGCATATCTGTGTTAAAAAGCTCAAGAGCTAAGAACTACATGTTAATTCAGAAGCAAGTTTGACCAAGCAACTTATTTTCACAGTGATTTATTAAATTACACAAATGAGAACAGGCAATATATACATTCACAAGTAGCAATTAGGCAGATGTATATCAATATTAGTGTACTTCGTGCAAATAAAATGACATTGAATGAGTAGATTAACAAGAACAGCTCTTCTTACATCTAATTTATAAGGCAGTTAGAACTACTTTCAAAATCAAAATGCTTAGCAAGTCATACAAATCAGTTAACTAAAAACAAAACAAAACTATACAGTTGACTTGAAACTTGAGTGGGGTTAGGTTCTGGGGATTGTACATGGAGCCAAAATTGCATATAGCCAGAACAACCCAGGAACCACCCCCACAAAAACTTTCTGGAGCCGTCACACTAAGCGGGCCTTATCTCTCTCTCTCTCTCTCACACACACACACACACATACACTCCGCAAGGCTTGGAAGGCTCTTGCACTGGCTCTGGGAAGCTCCCACAATATTTTGCAGGAACCTCACAGAGCCTGCGTGAGAACTTCCCAGGGCCCAGGAAGCGTGTGTTCAATTTGTGTAAGTACATGCTGGTTAAATGCACACAAGTTGCAAGTCGACTGTAATAATGAACATTGCACCTATCATGTTTGGATTTATTTGGTCAAGTTTGACATGAATGTGACAAAGTGCTTCAAGTCCCTTATCTAAAACACTAGAATAAGAAATGAACATTTTACACAACAAATCTTCACTGCTTATTTTAGGGATTTCACTAAACAAAACGTTTATTCTGACTAGAAGGTCAACATAACCAAAAGAAGGGGGGGGGGGAGAGAAAGAAAGTAGCTTACCAGTTTTGGAAAACAAGTATTCTCTTCAGCTCTGTTTCCCCCCTACAAAAAAGAAACAAGGAGGAATCAGCAGATAGTACAGTTAACAAAAAATGCATTCAGACTGGCAAACAAATATTTTTAAAGAAATTATGGCAAGTCAGAAAAAAGAGAGAAGTTTAATATATCAAGGAAAAGCTTTATTACAGTCTGTGCTAAACCAGAAAGGAGTTCAAATTCCTTTGCCAAATGGACAAAAAAGATGTGAAGCAGAAACTATTCAACCTCCCTCATTCTTGTATGTTTATTAAAACTAAATTAAATCAGAATCAGAATCCTAAGAAGACCAAATGTCTACCAATTATCCTAGGCCACACAAAACCTGCCACAACCACACCCTTAAGATCCTAACTACCCTCTAAACATTAGGATGACCCTTGGCCTTGTGGCACACTTAAAGCAGTTTCCAAAAGGCAATTCCTCCCTTTGGGGAGATGCCACCCATGTTGGCCTGGCTCAAAGGCTTCCCAGCCAGCAGATGTCAGAATTGGGGGGTGTATTCAGTTACAATATGCCTGGGACATCTCTCCAGCCAAGCAAATGGCAGACAAAATGGCAGTGTAGAAACAAATGTAGAGATTGGACCAGATGACAACAAAACAGCTTGCCTGCTCCATGGTTGTCCTGGCTGCTGTGCCTGTCTGCTCTGCCTGTTTGAAAAGCATCCAGGTAGGAAAACTAAATGGAGCTTGGGTCCTGGCATTGCTAGGGACCATGTATAGGCATAGTACTGTATTTAAGACCACAGCCTCAATCCCACAAGTACTGCTCATAGTTTGAAATAGCCAACATCAAAGAAAAGGAGTTAAATTTCCATTGCTTCAAAGTTAAGGACCTATCTGCATGAGAACATAAAATGCTAAATAAAGACCACAAACAGTTATTCTTAATGATATTTTTTGTGCTTACTGTTCATTGACTGTACTTGCCGAAGTTTGGACTTTTATTTCTCCATAACTCAGATTCTGAACAAAGCCAGTACAATTTAAAAACAAACAAATACAACAGGAAGAAAATACTGCAATCTTTGAGATTGGCTTCTTTTTTCAACTTGCAACATTACCCAACGACTTCAGGGAAGGCAACATAGCCCATTCTAGTGGCAATTTCTACCCAAGATCTAGAGAACAGTGAATTGGAACGCGTGGCGCTGTGGGTAAAAGCCTCAGCGCCTAGGGCTTGCCGATTGAAAGGTCAGCGGTTTGAATCCCCGCGGCGGGGTGCGCTCCCGTTGCTCGGTCCCAGCGCCTGCCAACCTAGCAGTTCGAAAGCATCCCCGGGTGCAAGTAGATAAATAGGGACCGCTTACTAGCGGGAAGGTAAACGGCGTTTCCGTGTGCGGCTCTGGCTCACCAGAGCAGCAATGTCACGCTGGCCACGTGACCCGGAAGTGTCTCAGGACAGCGCTGGCCCCCGGCCTACAGAGTGAGATGGGCGCACAACCCTAGAGTCTGTCAAGACTGGCCCGTACGGGCAGGGGTACCTTTACCTTTTTTTTAATCTAAAATTTAAAAAATCCACAATTTAAATCAACAGACATGGGTGCATAGTATTCCCAACAGACACCACCACTTTGTTTCTTGACTATCATATCACATAAGCATTATGTCATATAGATATAGCTTATATGCTTCTCATTTCTTTCCACCCTACAAAAATGTGAGAGACTTGAGGAAGCTCATGTACACAAGAGCAGGAAAGCAGCTAGACTGTGGAGCTCCACACTATCTCAAACTTGCTTACCTCTCCCTGCAGGAAATTCAGGGTCTTCTACCACACAATTGCAGGTTTCTAGGCCCCAATCAAGATGTTGGTCTTGTCGTTTAAAGTTTGGGACTTCCTAGAGTTCCTCCACCATCTGCAGTATAGTGGGTTGATAGAGAATGGGTTTTGAAGTGGTAGCACCCCAGCTCTAGAAAGCTCCAAAGACAGATTTGCCAGGTAGCTTCAGACTTAAAACTTTTTTCTTGTGCTGCTTTACAGATCTGCTTTCAGCTTTACTCTGTGCATGTTTTAATTTTTATGTACTTTATTTTATGCAAACTGCCCTGATAACTAGATTAAAGGGTCGGGTATGAATTTGAATGAATGCAGTCAGACTCTTGGGGCACAGTGCTGGCTCAGGCACCTGACAACCCCTTCCTGTTGTGGTTTATGTAGTTAGAGGGGATGCAGATACTGTAACTGCGTGGAGTTTATGCAGAAAACATACGTATCACATATGGCAAACAATTTATGCACCTTACAGAAAGACAACAAACTAAATCATATAGCTCAGTCAGTAGAGCATGAGACTCTTAATCTCAGGGTTGTGGGTTCAAGCCCTACGTTGGGCAAAAGATTCCTGCATTGCAGGGGATTGAACTAGATGACCTTTGTGGTCCCTTCCAACTCTACAGTTCTATCCTTTAGAAAGTGTTTTCCCCTGCATGGTGTAAGTTACTTATTACTATTAAATCCAACTTTGGCCCCCAATATTCGTTCTGCAGTTCAAATTTAATACTTTTTAAACCAGGGGAGAACAGATTATTTTCTACCAAACTTTGTTGCTCGTCTCAAAATACCTGTAACAGTTATGTTTAAGCACATGAAGTGACAAAAATGTATTTCAGGATAAGTAGTTCAGAGCTAAAATTATCTGAAGAGTGGAATTCTGAGGTATTCATTGACTATATATATATATATATATATATATATATATGCAGGTTTTGGTGTCCTCGGGTGTCTTCCCGTGTAAAAGTTGGGGTGTCTAGGCGACGTTTCGACGAGGTCTCACTCGTCATCTTCAGGCTGGTGCTTTCGGCTTCTTGTTACTGGAACAGAGCAGGATCTCAGTGTTTGAGTTCCTATAAATACTGTTGAGGGGGTGTGGTGTATAGCCTCCAATGTTCTGGGCAGAGAGGAAGTTCCCAGGCTAGTGTGCCTTTTCTTCTTTTGTTCCTTAATTACTTGAGGGATATCTTGAGTGATTTCTTGAGTGATATTCTGAGTACCACTTAGGTGGGTCATTAGGTGTGGATTAGTTGCTAAAGCCTTCGTGTCTTGACCTCTTGAATTTTGTGAAGAGTTTTTCTGGGAAGATGGCTGTACTGCACTTAGTTGTGCTCTGGCTTGGCTTCGTGTATAGGGGCGAGCTGTGGTTTTGTGCCCTGTGCCAGCCAGATCTGTGTAGGGATTGCAGGGGGGTGCAGCATCCGGAGGTGCCACCGTGGTTTGGCTACTGGATGGTGTCTGTAATTTATCTGTGGAGAGGGTCTGGGTTTGGGTCTGGTGTGGTTGATTGGTGATGGTGTTCTGTGTGCCTCTGGATCTGGTGTCGGTTTTTGTGGGGAGGGCTAATTTCCAGATGTCTGGCAGGCGGGACGTGTCGTCACGCTTGTTCATGTTGTGAGGGTGTTTCTCTATCTCGATGGCTTCCATGATTATTCTCTTGTGGTGATGTTCCATGTTAAAGAGCAATTTGGAATCTGCAAAATTAATTTCGTGTCCTGTTTCTTTCATGTGTTGGAAAAGAGAGGAAGTTTTTTCTTCTTTTTGACGGCATTCTTGTGTTCTGCGATACGTGCATTTATTCGTCTGTTTGTTTGTCCAATGTACGTGGCTGGGCAGACTTTGCAGGGTATTTCATAGACCCCTTGGTTTTCCAACTGGATTTTATCTTTGGGGTTTCTGAGGATATTGGCTATTTTTTGGTTGGTGCAAAAGGCTGTTTTGATATTGTGTTTATGGAGGATTTTGCTAATTTTATCTGTAGTGCCCTTGATATAAGGAAGGAGGGCCATGCCATTGTTTTCTTCTGTGTCTTGGTTTTTGGGGGGTGTTTCTTTTTGGATTAGCTTCGTAACCCTGTTTTGCTGGTATCCATTGGCGATTAACACATTTGAGAGATTCTGTAACTCAGTTGTCAAGTGGTCTTTGTCAGCCAGGCGTTTGGTTCTGGAGATGAGAGTCTTGGCTACGGAGTTTATTTGTGCAGGGTGGTGGTGTGATTGTGCATGTAAGTAGCGGTTGGTGTGTGTTTTTTTCCGGTAGATAGTGTGTCCTAGGGAGCCATCAGGTTTTTTGTAGATTAGGACGTCAAGGAAGGGAAGCTGGTTGTTGGCTTCTATTTCCATAGTGAATTGTATTTTGGGGTGTAGGCTGTTGAGATGTGTGAGGAAGCTATCTAGTTTTTCCTTCCCGTGTGGCCAAATTACAAAGGTGTCGTCAACATATCTGAGCCAAAGTTTGGGTTTGTGTTCTGACTTGTCTAAAGCATTGGTTTCAAAGTGTTCCATGTACAGATTTGCGATGACCGGTGAGAGATAAATTACATTTACAGATAAATTACAGACACCATCCAGTAGCCAAACCATGGTGGCACCTCCGGATGCTGCACCCCCCTGCAATCCCTACACAGATCTGGCTGGCACAGGGCACAAAACCACAGCTCGCCCCTATACACGAAGCCAAGCCAGAGCACAACTAAGTGCAGTACAGCCATCTTCCCAGAAAAACTCTTCACAAAATTCAAGAGGTCAAGACACGAAGGCTTTAGCAACTAATCCACACCTAATGACCCACCTAAGTGGTACTCAGAATATCACTCAAGAAATCACTCAAGATATCCCTCAAGTAATTAAGGAACAAAAGAAGAAAAGGCACACTAGCCTGGGAACTTCCTCTCTGCCCAGAACATTGGAGGCTATACACCACACCCCCTCAACAGTATTTATAGGAACTCAAACACTGAGATCCTGCTCTGTTCCAGTAACAAGAAGCCGAAAGCACCAGCCTGAAGATGACGAGTGAGACCTCGTCGAAACGTCGCCTAGACACCCCAACTTTTACACGGGAAGACACCCGAGGACACCAAAACCTGCATTCCTGTACCCGTGAAAATCTACGAAAGCAAATATATATATATATATATACACACATACACACACATGCTTGTTATTCCACTTATATATTTTTCTTTCTTCAATCATGTAAATCAAAGCAGCATACAGGAGACTGCCAGA